CCAATTAATCCGCTCCTCGCTAGAACAATGCGTTAAAACACATATCAAATCACTACTAAAACACAACAAGCAAAACCTAAAATAAAATAAAAAAACATGTTACTGCAATAAAACATAGTAATCAGTTAACATCCGGATTCTTGATCAGTTGGATTTCCTCTCCGACGTCCAGTAATTCTCCGTAGATAAGTTGTCATATTTGATACCTCAGCCGCAGGGCTTACAATGGACATTTTCGTTTACTACCTCGGCCAAAGGCCTACAAAAGACATTGTCTCGGCCGCGTGGCCTTGGAGAGACGTAACAGACTCTTGTCTCGGCCGCGTGGCCCTCGAGAGACATATCGGACATTACCTCGGCTTTGGCATAGCCTACAATTACCTCGGCTTTGGCATAGCCTACAAACGGACATTTTCGTTTACTACCTCGGCCAAAGGCCTACAATGGACATTGTCTCGGCCGCGTGGCCCTCGAGAGACATAACACACTCTTGTCTCGGCCGCGTGGCCATCAGAGACATATCGGACATTACCTCGGCCTCATGGAAGGCCTACAATTACCTCGGCTTTGAAAAAAGCCTACAATGGACTGATCGGACACGTTACCACTTTTGCCAATGTCTCGGCCGCTCGGCCATCAAGAGACAATCCTCTCGTCACTGCCAACACCGCTTGGCTTCGAAGTGACATTCAACAATTACCTCGGCCGAAGCCTACATGAGAATGGAACGAAATTACCTCGGCCGAAGCCTACAATGTTTCAACTGGTACCAGCAATGTTAAAAAACGTCATTGCTTAAGTGGCTCGGTCGGTGTACTTTAAACAAGGCTCCCTACTATACAAACAGACCTACAGTTAAACCTTGATGTGGAGACATAAATCAAGATAAACTGACCCCAAGTTCAGGTCGAGACGTAAACAAGTCACTCCGTGGACAATAGACAAAACCACTCCTAGTCGACAATAGGCACTGACCACTCCTAGTTAACTTAACAATAGACGCCGACTACTGCTAGTGAAAACAAAACTAACATCTGGTCACACAATAAAACTACACAGGCTGAACCTACACAAGTCCTAAACCAAATTAGGATCAAGACGCGATAATCTGAGCCGTCTAGACCTGGCTAATTAAATTACTCCACAACTCTACTCATCCGTGAACAAGATGATATAAAACCTAACTATGAACAACCCAAGTCTTCGATAACGAAACCACACACGTGGGCTAACATATTTAAAGTCTGAAATAAAAGAGCACGTAGGCGACATAAAAACCGAATTTAAAATTTAAAAATCACTACTATTACCTGCACAAACTAGAACTCCTGTGTGAATTAAATCCTGTCACATCTAACTAAACAAATATCAACAAAAGACTGCAATATAGAAGCCCCACAAGTTGGGCGCCATTTAAAAATCAATCTAAACTATAAACTACTATTATTACTTGAACTAACTAGGCTAGACACAAATTATCTAATGGCCACCAAAATCCTTGCCAGACGACGCCATTTGTAACAGGGCTAGAAAGCCCCATAGTACTAATATTAAAAAAAGAGGAAAGAAAATAGGAAATAGATAGATTCGTTCAGGTGGGGGCTAGAAACAATAATATTCTAGTCCAGGCATTAGATCTTCTGTGTAGAGTCTAATAAGTCAGGTAATAATAAACTAAACTAGAAAACTACTAAGCACGCTAACTACTAGTCCTAAGCTGAAGGAAACAACTGCAACTATGGATACAACGTTGAACATAATTTTATTGAACTTCACATCAGCATGGCCAAAAAGTAACGACATAAACGACCACGTGCTGAAACAAAACCTCAAACATACAGCAATTTACCATTTAACTATTCCTTGTCTAGAATACCAATGAAAATCTATTTTAACCAACTAACCACTGAACGTACCCTTGACTGCCATCAGTCCGACCACGAACGTTACCTGTGGTCGCCATGCCCATAGACCAGCCCATTGTGCAAAGCATCAGTCTTCTTGGGTCAGGCTTCCACAGTTTGGTCCGGAAGTCGAATAGATCGCTGCGAGACTAGACAAAATCTTTTATACCCAGTGAGCCAGATTTTTACCCATCTTTCGTATACTTTATTAACTGCCAATGTTTCTCAAAAGGCCGGTTAGCATTTTCAAACCAGGATAAACCTCTCAAAGACCTTTAATCTGTTGTCCTGTAGCCTTCGTCGCTTCCACCCTACTACAGTAACATTTTGGTGTATTGTTAACATCTCAGTGCATTGTTAACATTTTAGTGTTATGCAATCCTATAAAAGAAAATGTGTTAAACCTGAATACATTCTATACAAATAGATTCTAAATAGAAACGAAATAAATACCCTAGGAATAAGTCTTTCAACTGATATAAAGCAGACTTCATGATGAAGTCACGAGTGATTACAAACTGTCACCAAATGGGCGTCAATTTAACACATCTGTGAGCTATTATTTAATTTTTTTTTAGTTCTAGTATTTATGTTTCAAACTGAGGAACTGATTTAACATTTCAGGTCATTGCAAACCTACACTAAAGTATTTATATATATATAAAAAAAAAAAAAAAAAAAACTAGATACATTTATCTGTGGCTAAGTCGATGCGAACGCTTCGTAAAGCCGGGATGCCGGGTTCGATCCCGGCTACGGACCACGCGCCTTGCTTTGATTTCGACAGTGGTATCAGAAGGAACGTCGACCGTCCAGTAAAAAATGGCAAACTACTGGACGTAAATTTGCCTTAAAAAAACCACACAACAGCCAGGGTCTGTTGGGGTTGGTTCTGCAACGTCCTGTAAAGGATACGCAACTAACCAGATACATTTCACGGAAATGGGACGTGAATAGAAAGTAAATAAATTTCTTCAGAGTACGTTTGTAAGCTGTCATAAAGTTGTCTTCAAGATGAATTGTTGAGTGAATACAAATTCTCACCAGTCTATGAACTGAATAACCTGGTCTGACATCACGGGCGACTAAAAATGTTACGATTTATTTCGTTACAAATAGATGCAGGGTTGAGAGGCTGGAGTTATTGATTGCCAGCCACTTCGGTTTTGGCGACTGACACAATGAAGAGATTTATTAACTTTTAGCATGCTATGAGCTATTTCTTTTGGTTAGGAAGGCGCGGCACGCCTTTGAAGATTAAGACAGAAAATGTAGTCTATCACAAGCCTACATGCAACTGTAAAGGGTTAGTGGTGTAAGGTATTTAAATGACACAAAAATAGGTCGGATTTCATAGGGAAAAACAAACACAGCGATGGAAAGAAAAACATTTAAATGCATAGATAAAAAAAAACAAAAACAAAAAAACAATGAATGCAGTGTTGGAAATAAAAACAAATATGGAATCTCTTAAAAGACATAATGAAACAAGAGGTGCTGTAAGAAATGAAAGGTCAAATATTTTGACCACATTAAATTACAAAACTCTCTTAAAACAGCAATACTGGACGGAAAAGTTGAATGCAATCAGGTAACTGCAGTTCCAGTTCCATAGCAGACATGTCAACCCATTCGCGGTCCGTTCGATGCCTAGAAAAAAAAAAAAAAAACCCCCCGCCCGCCCGCCCCCCACCCACCCACCCACCCCCACACACACACACACACACACACACACACACACACACACACACACACACACACTCACACATACACACACACATACATACACACATACACACACACACACATACACACACACACATAAACTTGACCCAGACCAAAATAGGGACAATGAAATGTCAAGGGAAGTAGACAAATACGGCGTATTTTTGCCCACATCACATATTAGGTGCTGATTGGTCTGTAAAAATGGTTTTTCCACATAATGTTTTCATTATACATTGATAATGTACGAACTGTCATAGATAAGCCGAGAATTGTGATTGGTGGCCATAACATAGAGATAGACAACAGATGTTATGCTGATGACACCGTCTTGATAACGACAAATCAGAAAGAACTAGGGAAAGTGATAGATACGTTATTGTTAGAAAATTATATAGGCCTCTGCTTAAATGACGAGAAGACAGAAGTATTAGTAATATCAAAGAAAACAATAGTGCCTTTAAAAAAAGCCAAAGGCGAAATTTTAGGACAACTACACACACTTTAGTATCTGGACACACGCATAACGTCCAATGGAAAATGTATTACTGAGATAAAGAAAAGAACAGAACATTCTAAAACATTTTTTTTTTAAAATGAAGAACGTATAATGCGATATATCCATGTCGCTGGAGTCGGGGAAAAAAACAAAAATTATCGCATGCTTTATAAAGCCAGTTTTAACATATGGTTCTGAAATCTGGACAATCAATCCACAGGCCAAACAATTCCTTGAAGCCTCGGAGATTTGGTTTTACAGAAGAATCCTTAGAATTCCTGGAACAGATACAAAGAACAATCCAGACGTTTTGAAAGAGGCGAGGGTTCAAAGACAACTTTTCACAAACATCAGAAAGAGACAGTCGTCACTAGTTGTTTTTTTTAAGGCTATAAGAAGTAAGATACTGGAACATGTTGTGACCACTGAATAGATCATCATCATCATCATCATAAAGTGCCTTGCCAGCTGGCGCAGGCCTTCACGCATCTCCACAGATCTCGGTCTTTGGTGTTCTGGATCAATACCACTGATGATATTCATCAATGTCAATGTCTTAAGCCATTTACCATCTATCTTTTCTCTTGGTCTGCCTCTTCTGCCAGTGATGTTCCAGTCGTCACGATATTTTCCAGACTAAAAAGATAATTTGGAAAAAAAAAAAAAAAGATAGAGGAAGACAAAGCGAGATGTCAACGCATTAAATGACAGACGCTGTTAAAGATCGCCGGTTGTGGAGAGTCATGATCGCCCATGCCAGTCAGCAAAGCACTCTATGATGATAATGATTATACAATCCCGTACAAGCCATTGGTGTGAAAAATGGTTCTCTAGCTACCTTACCTACAGACACAACCACAGGAACAACTCACGTGTAGACTGGGTCCTGATAGGGATGGACTGTTTCTGACAAGGCCGACCAGCAACCGTACGCTTTTTTCTTCCGTAAAGCAGACTTGGCATATAAAGAGGTTAACGAAGACGTCAAGGATACCAGCGAAAATGACGACGATGATGGCAGCGTGGAAGTCAGCCGAAATATCAATCCCATCTTTCCTCCACCCTGAAAGGCTTCTGAAGTAAAATCCAAAACGTCTCTCAGAAGTTCTTCAGGGACCACATCATGGTTAACCAAGAAAGCTTTAGTTCCCAGAGGAAAATCCCGAAGCAGGTGTTCGTTTCGCGTGTACGCATTTTCGGTGATAATCCAAGCAAAACGATTTCCTTTGGGAAAGACTTTGTTAGCAGCCTGGAAAATGTGGCGGGTAAAAGTGGCAGTGGCGTGAAGGATAAAAATCCTCGAAGACGTTAGATTAAGGGCTTCTAACGATGACTGGACAACCGCCGGGGAGGCTCGTTTGGAAATGAAGACTTCGTCCTCTATAGTCCATTTGCTATCACTCGTGAGCTCCCTATTAGAATAGGAAAAAAATAATACAACACATTATTAGGCGTAAATTACTACTATATATGTAAACAGTCGTGGTGTAGCGGCTAGACGCTCGCCTGCCGATCCTAAGGTCGTGGGTTCAGGTCCTGAAGAAGCCAGGCTTTTTATTTTTATAAATGAAATTGGCTCTGAGGTCGACCCAGCCTGAAATAGGTACCAGGTACAGTCCTGGGAAGCAAAGGCAGTCGTTGTGATATTGACTTCATCACATACCCAGTGCGGGATTGGTCTACACAATATAGGTCTAGCCCTATATGCCCAATAAAGGCTTGGAGAATTTTCCTTTATTTTAGTTTACTAATATACATTGGTGACATTTTGTATCGCTATTCAACTATAGCTGGACCAAGAAATCAACATCAGGATAGGTAAGGCAGCAACAACAATGAGCAGATTAACAAAAAAAGAGTTTCAGAGAACAGAAAGCTCACGATTAAAACAAAAACTCTTGTCTTTCAGGCTTGTGTTCTCAGCACTTATGACAGTAAAATTTGGTCAACTACCCACCAGGATAAACGTCTAAAAAGCCTTCACATGCAATGTCAAAGAAGAATAGAAAAGAAAAGTAAAGAACCCTTTGCCACGCCTTTAGGCATATAGGGCATATAGGACTAGACTTATATTTTTATAGAAGAAATCGGCACAAGATGGGTGATGTTGTCAGCATCACGCCTCAAAGACGAGTACTTGACATTAAGGGGTCACTACACGGCATTTTTCCCAATTTATGACAAAAATATCACTTTTTCAATGTGTTCGTTTTTGTAAAGTTCGGCATTCGTACAATAGATGACACAAAAGATTTATGTCATTTGTAAACAATTTAGCATTAAAAAGTTAATACTAATGACACCACTTCGTACACTTTTTTTGAGATAAAAAAAAAGTTTAAAAGTCAGTTTTCTCAAATCTTTATATTTCAGTTTGCTGTGTGTGTGAAATCCTAAAATCTAAGCTAATATGAAGAGTAGAATCATCAAATTTTGTATGCATACTCCATAAACAATATTATAGGGATTGGTCTATCTAAAAGTAGATTTTAGAAAGTTATTGTTTCTAAAATTTGATTATTGTCTTATGATGCTAGATTTTTTTGACTTTTTCAATAAACCTACATTTTAAAATTCTACGAAAAATATTTAAAAACATGTTTAAAGTAAATAAACTAGACCAGTACCTCTAAATAGAACGAAAGGTTATGGATCTATCATCTATGTTTGCTTTTAAAAGTTAAGGATTCTAAGTACATATTGTTTTTTTCACAAGATGGCGGCTATTGCCATGACAACTATGATTTTTTAACACTCAAAGTATACAAATGTAATAAAATGTATCCCTACAAATGGCCATTATAAAATAACTGCTCTAAGTCTGTAAATAAAAAAATAAAAATTTTTGGTGTAGTGACCCCTTAAGTGGCAGGACAAGATTACAAACATTGAGATATTTGAAAGTGCAGGTATTACAACTGTTTTCTCAATGCTCAGTCTACGAACGCGCAGGTGGCTGGGTCATACCTGGAGAAATGTGGATGGAAGAGTCTCTAAGGACATCCTCTGGGATGGATCAAAGAAGGGTAGAAGATGTTGAGGCCGACATCTACTAAATTATAAAGATGTGAGCAAGCTTGACAGGAATGATACAAGTATTGAGGTGAACTCCTGGGAACAAAATGCCATGGACCGAGTTGTGTGGAAGAGGCACATCAGGAAGGGAATGCGAATGAAAGAAGAAATTATTGCGGAAAGGATGAGAGCTGGGCGTCTGAGAATAAACAGACTAAACACAGATTTTGACAACAACGGTCCTGAAATCTCATACTATAACTGTGAAAGACTTTAACGCAGGCGGGTCTTGCTAGACATACTATAACTGTGAAATACTTTAACGCAGGCGGGTCTTGCTAGACATACTATAACTGTGAAAGACTTTAACGCAGGCGGGTCTTGCTAGACATACTATAACTGTGAAAGACTTTAACGCAGGCGGGTCTTGCTAGACACACTCGCCACCGTAATGGGCTGTGTGTCCCATGCTTCCTCAAACCACAATATAACACTATCGTCTGGACAGATGGAAAGGTGCCCATTATGTGTCACTATAATACATGTTTGATACATAGTATTAGTGTGACACGCGTTGACTCGATGCATTACTAGGATAGGTGGTTGATACGCTGTATTACTAAGATACCCGGTTAAAGGGTAAAGGTAAAGTCGGGAGATGTGAACCAGCGTCATTGCACAACCATAAGTGCTCTGCCACCAATACGGACAGCTGATAAGAAACTGTCCGTCTGTGTTGCCGTTCGCACGCAACTCTATAGCTACAGCAACGTTCCTCCATTTATCCAAGAGTGTTAACTCTGGTACCTATTACCTAGAGGTTGGATTAACCCCGGGAACCGCCCGGTTTCGAACACCGAATGTTGGCTGCAGCGAGTCGCTGCTGGATTTGAAAGCGAGTCTCCTATCGACCGCGCTAACGCGGCTCCCTAAGATACCTGGCTGAACCATGATATCACTAGGATACATATTTAATACACTGTATCACTGGGATAGATGGTTGGCACATTGTATTACTGCAATACGTAATTATATCATAGCATTACTATAATGCAGGGTTGACAATTCATTACTGCGACATTTGGTTGACACAATTCATTACTGTGACACATGTTTGACACAATGTATTTCTTTGATATATGGTTGTTACATTCTATTACTACGAATAATGGAAGGCATTGTATTAGTCCGATACATGGTTAAAGTTAAAGTTAAAATTGAGTGTATCGACTTCAATCTGACTGCAGTTTTGTTTTGTTATCCCAAGTTGAATGTTGAATGATGAACTCAAAATAGACATCATAACACCCGGGACAGTCCCCTTAGGCGCTCAGTTTCCATCTTCAGCAGTAATGGAAGAGTTCCAAATCCGATGGTACCAGTAACTGATTGTACATCCGTCTTGCTTTTTCCTTGAGTTTTGAGTTTCGGCCAGATCCCCTGGTAACTCTTCACAGCTCCATTCTCCTCAGACCGTAATGATCTGTTTGTGTCTCCGTACTGTTAACGCTCTCCCGAATGGCCCTCACAACACCCAGCTTGTCATACATAAATTCAGCACCAAATGGTGCAGAATCGACTAGTCTATCTGACTGCTCGTTTTCCAACACGCCACCATAACCTGGAAAAAATATCCGAAGTACGCTAACTACCCAGGACCTCTGAAGTGATGTTTGCCACTCTGCACAGAGCATGCCTGTCTCCACTTTCCTCAACAAGCTGTGTGCGTCAGTTACCCCAGGTAAACTTTACTAAAAACTGGAGTTCGTGCTTTGTGCGAGACTATCACCAGGTTGCTGGCTTTTTTACAATGAGAGACTAAACTGCATTTGACAAAAAACGTTTGCAAGAAAGCAGATCCTTTTCACCTTAAACGTTGTTAGTGTAAAACAGATTATCCTTTCAACCTTAAACGTTGTAGGTGTAAAACAGATTAAAGGAATGCTGATGTTAAAAAATTAAAAGGCACTCTTACTTTTTTAAACATAAATAAATAAACAGACGGAGAACCCCATGAGGCAGTAGAAATTATATATATATATATATATATATATATATATATATATATATATATATATATAGTAAAATAAAAAAAAATAAAGGTCCCTTTCCCTCGCCTTCAGGCGTATAGGGCATATAGGGCTAGACCTATATTTTTTTTATAGACCAATTGACACAAAATGGGTGATGTGGTCAGCATCACATTGGCAGCCTTTACTTCCCGGGACTGCACCAGGGACCCACTCAAATATATATATATATATATATATATATATATATATATATATATATATATATATATATATATATATATATATATATATGTATTGATGATAATGATGATGATACATATAATAAAGAAACAAACAATGTATTGATCGGTACACATCGAAAGAAGTAGAAAAAAAGATGGATATACTAGAGAATATAAAAATCGAAAGCTACAGTTACCCTCCCTTAAATCGAACCTGTCACTTCCAAACGGCGAAAGCGCCTCGCTATGGAAAGAAATGTACTAAAAACATGACCAACTAAGCACCCCGTAAAAGGTGTCTTTATCTGCCATGTCTATCGTATAGCTTGAAATCCACAACTATGGAATACAGAGTTGAGTTGATTTAAAAACCGACATCACAGCACTACGGCTTCACAGAGCGCTCCGTCCCCATCCTCAGCAGCCAGTGAAGAGTTCCGATACTAATGGTGCCAGTCGAAATCTGATTAAACGTCCGTCTTGCCTTTCCTCTGAGCCTCGAGCATCTGCCAGAACCACTCGTCACTCCCCGCTGCATCAGTCTCACTAGACTCTGGTGATCCATCTGCACCTCCAAACTGTACACACTAAGCACTAACCACGCCTGCCTTATGCATCAGTATTCCACCAAAATGTGCAGAGCCAGCCAGTCTGTCGGCATGTTTATTTCTTAACACACCGGCGTGTCCCGATGAAAATATCCAGACAATACGCCTCATCCGTGTCCTTCGCAGTGAAGCATGCCACTCTGCACGAAGCATACCTGTCCTGACCTTCCTCAGCATGCTTTATGAGTCAGTTACAATCACGATGTGTGTGTGTGTGTGTGTGTGTGTGTGTGTGTGTGTGTGCGTGCGTGCGTGCGTGCGTGCGTGCGTGCGTGCGTGCGTGCGTGCGTGCGTGCGTGCGTGCGTGCGTGTGTGTGTGTGTGTGTGTGTGTGTGTGTGTGTGTGTGTGTGTGTCGTGTTCTTTAACCGGCGGAAAGCTGCAGTGACCGCCTCGACTACCATTCTTAAGCATTATACGCTAGGCCCTCCTGCACCAAACGCCGACCACTAACTTTTGCTATAAAACCCCAAGCATGTGACACGAAAAAAATTCATATCAAGCCATGGAAATGGCACCATAGGTTACATACAATTA